TGACAAAACATGATTGGTTTAACAGTTAAGTGTGGCATATTCGTACGTCAAAATACAGCCCTGTACATTTGAAACCACCAAATGTTTAACGCTTTGTTTGAAATTTCTTGACGTCACAACTAATAGCCAAATACAGCATAATTCACTTGTTTATTATTATATATACATACATATATTTGCATAGATTAAATCTATTTATATAAAGAAAATTGTTCGAATTTAAACATATATAATACCGTAAGTGATTAATAGTTTAAAAAATTTTTTTTTTATTTTTTTTTTAATTTGAGCTAAAATGATTTAATGTCAACTAGCAAATTTATTATCACTTTTATGACTTATTTCTGCGCATAGAGTTTTCCTTAACTGCTGATTTATGCTAATTTTGCGTAAATGTTGCTAACACAAAAAATACATATATACGTATATACATATAAAGAAAGCTACATATAAAAAACGTATAAGAAAAAATATGTTTCTTTTACTGAAAATGGCGTAAAAATATATATAAAAGGATTGCATTAAAGTCGTATAGAAAGAAAAATTTTAATTATCACAAAAATTTGGTAAGCTTACATAAATAATAATTTATTAGTTAAAATACAGAAAAACATGTGTGTGAGTTGAAAATAAAAGTATTTTTACATTTTTAATTACAAAATTAAATAATCAAAATATTCAAAACAATAATGATATATATTTTTTTCGAAAATTAAATAAAAATAAATAAAGGAAAATAAATACTTAGTAAGCACGGCGATTTTAATGACTTAAAAAAATACAGTTATGGCATTGTATACTTATATGTACATGTGTGTACATAAAAACGCATACTAGTAAACCCAACAAACATTTAAAACTCCAATCACTAGGTGTCTTAACTCAGCATAAATTTATTTCTCAACTTGCAAGAGGCAACTCTTTTTTATTCTTAAATAATTTCAAATTTTTTCTGAATATAACTTTAACTTTGTGACCCATATTGACTCTATTTGTGATTCACTATGGTTTTAATTTGCAGAATTTTTTACACTTATTTAACTCATTTAGGTGCTTTTCTGTTAAACCATATTTTATACTCTTTGTTATTGAAATTAGGACTCACTTTGAATGCATTTATACATTCATTTCTAAAATCCTGTAATTATTTTAGTCTTTTTTTATTAATTTTGAATTTTTTAAATCCATATTTGAACTCCTTTTGTTATTTATAGCTTATTAAAGTTCTTACTTAAGTCATTTATGATTATGTTTCGATTTTTGTTAGCGTTCATGATTTGTTTTTCCGGTAGATGTCTCTTTTGAAGCTGTAATTTTTTGACATTTCACAAGTAAAAATTGAGCCAATAATTAAAATCGAACTCATTAAAATTATTAAAATTCACTTTAAAAATAGTGAAATCTTGAAAGAGACGATTCGTAAAATTTAAACAATTTTCAATCGACGTGAAGCGGCTTCGGACCGCAATATATGTATAAGCTGGTGGAGAAAATGGAGCTGAAGTTAGTTATGTGAAGAATAAAACACGATAAATCAACTTGACTGCTGAAGGCCATTTTCACTACGATGAGACTATTGAGGGCATACAGCAGCCACCTTGCAATTTGGTGATAGGAATATTCATAAAAAGGATATGGTCCTGTAAGTGTAGCCGAGACAGTCATTTGGCTGACATTATTTTCTATTATTAATGGCCTATTTTGGTCTTTACATTGATATTTGTTTATGTACATCCGATCGCTTACTTCAAAAAATGTTTTTTATTTTTAATATCAAAGTAACATTTCTTTTGGCAAAGTCCTGCATAACCCTGTATATTTTGTGCATATGAATGTAAAATATAATTTTTTACTGTACATTTTAGCTACATAACAAACCGCGAGCTTAGTTTGTCACCTGTTTTGACTCAACCGTAAAAGTTTTGCGTTGATAAATTGAGTGGCAAATGTCAAAAGGTTATTAATAAATTGGCAGCCTTCTTTTGGCCAACTAAAACAGCATAAAAAATAAATTTAAAAAAATCTCTTTTAGTTATTATTTTCCATGTTTCAACTAAATTAAATTTCAACAAAGTTTTAATTATGAAAAAGTAAAATTTTTTTGTTAAAAAATTGAAACAAAGTAATTTGTCATGTTTGCTCCCACTCGCCACTCATGTCTCATGCTTGGCTTTTGTGTATTTCTCAGCTAGCAGTGCCACTCTTTTTCACTTTATAAGTCTGCATTTGTGGTTTTTGTGTCGTTTTTTCCTGTGTTTACTAAATAGTTTTTATTCTATTTTATTTTTTTTTCTATTGCTGACTTTGGCCTTTGAATTTATATCTCTCTTTTTAATAAATGAAATTGAAAATCACAATTAATCATTTGTGTTTCGATTTTCTGCACGTTTTTTTCTCACATTATTTCTCTTTTTCACCCATTTAACCTTATTCGTAAAATTTCATTAGTTAATTTATTTAAATGTATGTTTTAGGGCATGTGTTGGTGTTGGTGATGCTTCATAAATTAATTAAAATCTTCATACAATTTGTTTTCATTTACAGGGGCTTCCAGTAGGGACGCGTGAACTTTGACGGAGCAAACAAGGCTGAAAGCTTTTCTATAAGACTACAGTTGGTGCTCTCTTGCCTTTTGATATTTAACTTCTGTCTGAATTTGCTTTCACATATGCTCTAGTTGCCCAGTGGCTCTCTCTCTTCTTTCTTCTTCCGCTGCATTGCGGCCTTACTTTGATGATTTTTTTTGCAATTCATTTACTGTTAAACTAAAGCCCATTATTAATCGCATTCTAAGTTCATTCTTTGAGTAACTCCAAAAGCTTCGCATACGTCATAATGCCTTAAACTCTCTGATAAAAATATTTTGTAGATCATAAATTTTTTACATAGAAAGGTTATATCTTATAAGATTACCTAACTCTTTATCTTATGCTGTTATCTTTTTTTCATTGTAGCAAGTTTCTAAGTGATGCGCAGCGCACAACCTCTTTACACACTCGCTGCAACTAGACCTCAGCGAATCCTTAAGCTAAATATGTCTGAGTGGTTCCACTGAAACTTCGTAACTGCATGCCCTGCAGCTTGCCTACTCCCCACTACATCGCTAATCTATGAGGAAGTTCGAATAAGACGATATATCTCCTGGAATTTGCGACTTGGCTCCCAGGCCACAATATCAGCCTACAAATACAACGAGGAATAACCCTTGCCAAAAGGGGCTACTTTGGACTGAGTAGACAATTGAAAAGTATAGTACACTCTCTAAAAGTCCCAAATCGTTCCCGTACTCTTATGTGGTGCGGAGGTATAGGCGGTGAAACCACATGATGAATCGGCGGCAGGAGTTTTCGAGAGAAAATTCTTGCGTAAGATGTATGGTACTCTGAGCGTTGGAAACTTCGAATACCACAACCGATGGAACGATGAGCTGTACAAGACATACGGCAACATTGACATAGTTAAGGGAATCAAGAGACAGCGGCTAAGCTGGCAAAGTATTTGAAGCAGTAGCCGCCGGTGGAAGCAGGGGAAGAGATGCACCTCCACTACGCTGGAAGATTCAAGTACAGAGCGATCCGGAATCACTTGATATTACCAACTGTCGTCAAACTGGCGAAGAGAAGGAACGAATGGCGCGCTATTGTTAACTCAGCCATAATCAAGTAAACGTTGCCCAGGCCAATTAAGAGAAGAGGAATGTTAATTGGGTATCCATTTTCAGCACCGAATGGGGAGTAGAGATTTCTTCTTAATTTCAAAGGAAAATGTATGAGTGTCAGCGCTAATTGCTAGGAACTATTGCTCTGAGGCTTTGCAGAAAATAGTACCTGGGCAGCTGAAAGACTTAGGAACTGTGAAATTTATACTCTCACTTTCTGAACGGAATCTATGCCCCCCAAACTTTGCAGATTTTATATCTAAATTGCAGAAACTGTTGAGAAATGTACCATACTTTCATCTAAAAAGCAGAGTGTAACAAAGTATTATGTTCAGACTATTAGAATAATGAAGTTTGAGATTTGGTGGGTCTTCTTTGTCGACTTTTGAGCTGTATGAATGTATATAAGTTAATACGATTAGACTTTTAAAAATATGAAGGTTTGTCGATGGTGTAAATTATTATTCAAGAAAAGCATATCCAAGATGGTTGTTCTTTAATAATTCACAACTATGAATCCCACTTTAAAATTTTAGCAGAAATCGAGCACGAAGTTATTTAATACTATGAAACTGCACTCGTTACGGGACCATCTAGAGAGGTAAAGTCTGAAAAAGTTTAGTAGCTGATTCGATGGAATAGTTAAGAGTTTCAAACACATAAACCTCTCATATACTTAAATTATGACTTCGAAATTTTCTCTCTCTTTCTCTATTTCGTTTTATTTTGAATAAGTTTTGTATGTAGTTCTCTATACTACAAGCCCAAAATATGTAGAATAGACTAAGGCTCTAAAACGAGGGATATATCCGGAAGTTGAACTGTCTGCGGTAGAGTTGTGTGGATAGAAAGACCTAATTCATACCCAGAAAGTCGAAGGTTCTTACTGACAAGACTCACATTGACGGAGAATAAAAGCAGCTAAAACTTTCATTAGTCGTTTCCGATGGTTTCAGTCTTAAGTTAAGACTTGAGAGACCTGATTTATATAGTAATCTTCGTGAATCTTCCCTCATAGTCTTCATTTCGTAAGTCTGGAAGTTGTTTTCTGGCTTGCCATCAGATTTGTTGTGATTACACCATTTTAATTCCTTAAACTTTTAAAAATCAATCTGTTCATTAAGATCCATCGCCAACCTTGAAACCCAAATTTATAACATTTTCATTTACCTTTATTTTTAACAAACTTAATCTACGCCACAGAGGTAGCACAATATAAAAACAACAATAAACTCATATAACAAAAACAATACAGCAAAGACTCAACGAAAACTATCAAATCAATAGTATTCACATGGCAACAACAGTACTAATTAACGGTCAACCGCAGCGAATATTTTAATTAACGGTAATAATATCTAGCTGGTGGCAAGTAGCCGTTATTTGTATTAACACCACTCTGCACTAACGATTGCTCAACACTCTGCAATTGCTCCTCTGGCTGTGCATTTACTGCTGATTGTCCAGCCGCTGGCACTACTGGAATTTGTACGGCCTGTTGTTGTTCATTAGTTTGGGCGGCAGGTGGGGAGTGAGTGGCCTCGGAGGCGCCAGCTGCATCATCAGCGGCAGACTCAGCGGCAGCCTCAGCCTCGGTATGCTTGGCAGTGGTGGCAGCGGCTTCTAGAGCACCAATAACTGAGCTCTCCGCTGCAACGCCTTCATTACTCACCTGTGTCGAGCCGCCCAAAGCATCATATTGTGCTTGAATAGTTTGCTGCGCATGCGCCGCCTCTTCCGCTGTCTTATATTTAATGAAGTACACTTCAGGCTTGGCTGTACTGGTGACGGGCTCATATACTTGTGTGTCAATATCGGTGGCGTCGTGCTTCTTATTCAACACATAAATGACGGTCTTCTCTTCATTAACGGCGGGCGTGATTTTAAGTGACGTCTTCGGGCTGGACTTATCGGATGATTTAATGAAGACGACATTGTAGTTTTTACGTGGCTTACCCACGGTCACATGATGTTGTTTCACCTCGCCTTCATCGTCTTCGGGTGCAGCGTGGAGGTAAAAACGTTTGGAAATGACGGTTTCAGATTCGGGAGCCTGTTGTTTTTGTTGCTGCAAGTGTTGCGCTTGTTGTGGCTCTGGAATGTGTTGTAGGGCAAAAGCTTGCCGTTGCAGGGGAAGTTGTTGAGCTAATTGTTCTGGTTGTTGTTGCAGGGCTTGGGGTTGTTGGAAATTAAACTGCTGATGGGGAATCTCTTGTTGAGGAACCTGTTGCAGTGGAACCCGCTGTTGTGGAACTTGTTGTAGAACTTGATGTTGTAGAAAATTTTGTTGTTGAACATGTTGTTGTGGAACATGTTGTTGTAGAATCTGTTGCTGCGGAACCAGTTGTTGGGGAACCGGTTGCAGTGGAACCTGCTGTTGTGGAATCTGTTGATGCGGAACCTGTTGTTGGTGGAAAGAATTAACCCCTGGTACAGGTTCAGGTGCCAAGTAGCGAGCCTGAGGCTGACCCACGGACATACGAGCAGATGCTGCGCCACCAGCATTAGCAACCACTTGATGCTGGGTACTGCTTGCAAAGTTTGGCGCCAGATTACCCGACTGTACAGCCATAACGGTTTGCAAATCCTTCAAAAAGTCAGTAGTTTGCGATGTCATGGCACTATACTGGACCTCGGACTGTGGCAACGCATGCGGCAATTGACCACCAACTGGTTGGGCACCATACTGGTATCCCTGCTGTGGCGCAGCAGTTGTTACAGTAACAAAGGCACATAAAATCTGCAGATAAAGAAGAAAAGAATTACGTGAAAATCATCGGAGTATCAGCTCCTGGTCTTTCCAATCGACGCTACTTACTAGAAATCCACGCATGTTCGTGCTTGGTTTGATTGTTGATGGTTGAACGATTGTGTGGGTTGTTATGCCTCTTCAAGGTACGGCACTTGGTTTTTATAGTCGCCCAACTCTGCGCAAATGCGAAGTTTGCTCTACAAAAATCTTTATTAAACGGTAATTTATCTAACAAGCTCTATTCAATTGCAATTCATTTAGATGAAAAAAAGTCAACGCGCTAATGCGGCAGACACCATGAATAAGCGACGCGTGTGTGTACGTGCGCCACGATACCAGGTTTGCCGGCAGCCACGAAAAATAGGCAGAAGCAACTTTGATTGTATGTTTGTTGAGACTCTGCAGTCGATGGGCGGCTGTACAGCGGCTCTTCGCCTTAGATCTCCATTCACCTTTACTTGTTATACATTTACTCATTCATGTTCATAATTTTATATAAATAATGTTACATGTAAGATCACAGCGGTGGCGAATCAGCGAATTAGAAGTTAATCTTTTCATTTACTACTTTCTGGTGAGTCATTGTGCGCATCTTCAAGTGGATTGGCTTTTTACCAGCAACATGGGATTAAGGGGGTAAGGCTCGTACTGCGGTCTGAATTACTGTCGCATCTTGAGGGTTTTTCTGGTAAGTTTTTTGCGACTTATTTAGTTGACGCTTTGTAACCGGTGAAATGATTTTCGGCTTCCAATTTATGATGTGAGCCTTGATGTTCTTCTAGCAAAGAAAGGACCTAGAGTTTTTACTAAGTCGTCTCAGAACGGCGGATAGTTTTTTATTGGGAGCCTTACTCCTTTCTGCATTACTCTAATCACTCCTGTAGCTATAAAGAACATCCCGCCTTTTCTGAGAGCCTGCACCATATAATCTCTGTCTATCTATTTCCTGTTCAAACAAGTTTTCTTTAATTACTAATCCCAGGTTGTATATACTATAAATATCGGCCGACACGTGTCATGAGGTGAATATGCTTGGTCTGTAACCAGAAAACAACATGAAATTATTGGTTAATTACTTGATTGGGTGCTTGATTAAAAGAAGGATGTTCAGGACCTGACCGCAATCGGCTAGAGTGTATCCCAACTAGTGGTTTGCGAAAAGTTCACTTTAATGTGTAAATTCTTTAAGTTTCTTCATAATTTCCGCAGCAAAAATTTGATTGATTTCCCATTTGGTACCATCAGTAATGCAAGCAATGCTTAGGCAGCATTCTCAAGATGGACTCCGCTTGTATTACAGCCACGTTCCTTCTGTAACCTTTGCAACGTGGAATTCCTGCCTTGGAGTTTCACGAAGATTCTCTACCATTGATTGAATAGCGAGTAGTGACGTTTTGAAAAATAGTCCTGTCTGAAGACGACGTCAAGATTAGGTGCATAAGATCCTCACTAATCAGCGCCTCCAGCAAGGTCTGCTGCTGGTCTCATCTATTATAACAGGTACATCGCAGACCCTTGCAGCCCATGCCTTGCGGAAGGACTAATTTTTCAGTTTTTTATTAGTTTAGCTTCGGCGTGAAATATACAGCTGTAATCAGGCAGCTTCAAAAATAGTTCAGATCAGTTAAAAAGTATCCTATAAGCTAATTCTTAGTTTTTCAAGCATTCATCCATAGGTTTCTACGAAAAAATTGTGCCTCTCTCCGAAAATATTTTACATACAATCCCTCCGAAATAAAATAAATAAATAAATTTGTTTTTTAACCAATAAACATCCTCTTTCATCAAACACAACAACATTTACACATTAAGTTGCTTTACAAAAAAATCATATTGCGTCCTTAAGCGAGTTTTCAAAAAATGTTTGCTTCTTCAACATGTTTGTGCTACCCTGCCGTCGAAGGGTCAGCGCTTTCGCGATTTTTTACAATTTACGCTTTTATTTACCTTCGGAATGCGTTTGAGCTTTGACTAATTGAATATCATAAGTCAACGGCGCACCATCAGCAATAAGCTGAGCAACAATGCGGTGCTGTGCGTGGACTCCAGTTTTAATGAACGAAGACAAAAGGCAGCCAATCAAATTCATATATGTACATACTAGTAACTCTATATGAAAGTTGCAAATATACCAATACATTTGATGGTACACAATATATAAATACGTTTATGTGTGTGTTGACACAAAAGATGAAAAACAAAATTATATTAAAAAAAAATTTAATTAAATTTAATTATATTAAATAAACCTAAATGAAAAAATACATAATATAAATTAAATTAAATCAAAACTAAATAATTGATATAAAATTTATAAAATAAAATAGAGTGAAGTAAAGTAACATAAAATAAAATAAAGATAAAAAACTATATTAAAGTAAAATAGTTAAAAACAAGTACAATAAAATGGAATGCAACAAAATGAAATAAATTAAATAAAATTCAATAATACAAAATTAAATGGAATAAAATGAAATATAGTAATATAAAATATAATAAAGTAACATAAAATAAAATCATATGAGACAAATTAAGATAGAATTAAATTATTAAATTAAATTATATTAAGTTAAATTGAATTAAATGAAGTAAATCAAATTTAATTCAATACTACAAAATGAAAACGACTAGTATAAAAAAAATCAAATAAAATAAAAAAATAAATAAATATAAATAAATAAAAAAAACAAAATGAAATACAAAAAAATTAAATAAAATGAAACAAATTGCAATTAAATAAATTTAAATAAAATAAAATCAAATAAAGTAAAACATAATAAAATGTATTAAAATTAAATAAAAAATGTATTAAAAAAATTTAATTAAATAAATAAAATGAAATAAATATAAAACAAAAATTAATTAAATTGTACTAAATGAAATTAAAAAAAATTTAACAATTTAAAAACAAGTAAATTAGATAAAATAAATAATATAACATAAAAAATATGAAATAAAATATTAAAAAATAAAAACAAATAGAGTTAAAGAAAATAAAATGAATTAATTTAAAATAAACCAAAACAAATTTATGTTAAATTTATATAAATTAATAAAATAAAATAAAGGAAACATTATGAAAATAAAATTAAATGAAATAAAATAAATTGTAAAAAATAAATTAAAACAAGATGAAAAAATAAGATAAAATAAAAAATAAAAATAAAAAAAGGGAAATAAAATAAAAAAAGGATATAAAATAAAATGAAATTTAATTAATTAAAAAATATAATATAATAAAAATAATGCAATAATAATAGAAATAACAAAAAAAATAATAAAATAGTCAATTAAAATAAAATATAATATGTAAACCAAATGAAACAAAATAAATTAAAATTAAATAAATTAAATTAAACAACCACGCTGACATTTCTACGAATCTACGAATCTCTTAAAATTTTACCTGAATTCGATCTACAAGATCGTACACACATGTAGTCAAACATGTAAGCGTAGCTTTAGGCCTACGATTGAAGCCACACACCTCCAAACAACCGACAACTAATAAATTATATTTAATTATATTTGATTATTATTTTTACAATTTACAAAGTTTCACAAAAGAGCACACGAAAACAAAAACAGCAACAATTTAAATAAAAATAAAGTTTGCTTTGATAATTTATTGCCTAAAATTGGAAACAAAAACAACTATAAAAAAAAGGTTATGAAGCAACAAAAGACTCAAAAAACAAACCTAAGAATATTAGGAGCTAAACAAATGAGATTAAAACGTAAAATAAATGATAAGAAACCATAAAGAGGAGAAGAAATATGCCTAAAAGTAATTAAGATCATCATTTGTTATTGCACTGTAATGCGCCTAATTAAAGTGAAGAAACAAGGGAATACCCTCAAAAGTCAATTCAAAGATTATGATAGAAAGAAAATGAGGAAATAGTGAAAAATAGACATCATAACTAACTAGTTGATATTACACACCTATGTACATACGAGTATGCATGCATGTAATATCTTAGCTTCGCTATCTTACGTTGCTCGTGAACGTGTTGCAATTGCTGCTGAACTAAAATATGTTGGGTTAAAATGCTTGGGTGGTACATTTTTTTGGATGTGCACTTTGACGGACGCTAATCAAAAATAGATTTAAATAATTTTAAAAGCGAAAATATGGCAATTGAAAAAAAATAGTACAGAAAAATTCATTTGAAAAACCTGAAAATAATGAGAAAAAGCTTAAAGTAAGAAAATACTCTTATATATGTCTCCGAATAACGAGAAAGAAGGTATCAAATCTTTTTATATATGAGTACATGCATGCAATGACATAGCTGCTGCTGAATGTTAATACACTCGTTAGTTTCAAAGTATTTGATAAATGATGCAAAAATGAATTCAGCGAAATTGAAGAATAGTTAGCGGAAGATGCCATCAAAGCGCTTACATGAAACCGCACACCGAAGCAAAGCGCAATACATATGTACGTATACATATATGTATATGCATGTATACACATCTATAAATATAATTGGAACCTTTTAACCGTTGCGGAAACCCAAAGTTTATTCTAAGCTGTCTCCCAACAGCTGATGGATTTTTATGTGGAGTTTTTATTGCATGTCAGAATTACGCTCGCCGAGAGGTGACCACAATTAGAAAAATTAGTAATAACTAAGTCTCCAACCTAGGATCTTCCTACTAACCACTCGGCTATTGCGGTGGAATACGTAAAGTTGCATACATACATACTTACATTTGTGTATACATACATATGTATATGGCTAGACAGGAAAAACTAGATGAAGATAATGGAATAACATGACAAGATGGATGGCAAATTAAAATGGTTGGACATAAAACGTAGTGCAACAGAAAATATGGCTAGTCTTAAAATAAAGCTAGACATAAAATATAGCAAGCCATAAAATAATTCTCAACATGATATATAGCGGTTTGGCATAGAACGCGGTTTGTCTTAAAAAATCTATGACTTGACATAATATATGGCTAGACATTAAACAAGTCAAATCCATTATTATTTTCTATTATTTTAAATATAATCATTTTTTGTTAATGAATTGCATAAGAAACATCAAAATAATTTACAATTAAACGAAGCCAAGTCAGAGGATCACGTTCTGCTTTTTTATAGACA